CTCCCCGGCAGGACCAGCTCAGTCGCACCCTGACTGGCCCTGCTGGGTCCCCCCACATCCTCCCTGTGAGTAAGAACCGATTCAGGGGGCAGCCAGCATCACAAGTGTGCATCCTCCCCGCCGGCCTGGGCAGCAGCCGGGGACACAGAATTACTCAGGCTGTACACGTGGTCTCTCCTCACCACCAAAAGGCCATTTACTAATGGGGAGCGAGGCTCAGTGCCCGTACGCAACTCCTGAGCCAAAGCACAGAAGTGAATAGCCTGTTGCTCACTGTAGGGCGCTCTCGGAGCACTCTGCTGGGGCACAATGAACCAGCCACAGCCAAAAGGCCATAGCCCACAGGGTGACCCTGCAGACAGAGGGGCTAGTGACTGCTACAACTGCCCCACCAGCTGACACAAGGAGGCTTTCAGCACCCACAGGCACTTCGAAGCGGCCGGTGTGGGTGTCCCCCAACGGGGTTTACACCACAGAAGGGCTTTCTGGTTCGTGTGGAGGCCGGGGAAGGCACCAGCTGGCTGCATGTCCAGGTGAGCTGTTCAAGGCCTTGTCACCCTGCTCCTTCCACCTAACATCTGAGCTCTCTCTGCTCACAGGGTGTGCACAAGGGGGACCTGGAAAGCATCCTTTCACCACTAGCCCCTCTCCAAGCATTGTTTTGGTGTTTGTTTTTTTTTTTCCCAAAAAAATAAAAATTCTGCTACCATCATTAGTAGAGTGCGGGGTCAGCCTCAAAACTGCATCCCCCAAACAGTGAGAATTGAAGCCAAAGGGAAAGGATACTTAAAGCTCCTGGCTCCTAGTATTAATAAACAGCTAAAATCTTCCGAGTCCTCGGGGATCCGGGGGAGATTAAATATCTCATGTAAGGACTAAACACGACAGATTGCCTTTGTAATAGTTCTTTCTTTGGAGAATCTCCTCTGATTTTGTGACGGATTAAGCTAATCAGTTTGAAAGCAAAGACTGATGCAGCTGCTGACCCACAACACAGATAAACCACCTTATCAGCTTTCCCAGGACAGCAGCTCTTTAGGCAAGGAGGAGCACCATGAAGGCTGAGCATACCCACAGTGACTGAGGGGATGTCTCCAAAACCACCATCTTTTCCCCAGACCTGAAGAGAGGAGATACCTCACCACCAGTCAGGAAACACGTTATGGTAACCATGTCACTGCAGAAACAATCTGACATGGTTATTTATACAAGTGTTTGAACATGGGGCTTCCAAACCAGCTACAGGGCAATCCGTCCTCTGTGATGGTAAATGAAAGACCTGAAATCCTATTCCAGTTCTAGAGTATAATCTAAAGACAAAAAAACAAAAAAAAGGAGGGGGGGATGGGGAACACCATGTTTACACTAACCTAGCTTGCTCTGACTAACAGAGTGAGAGTTCACCCAAGCTCTTAACTTCACAGAATGGTCTGGGTTGGAAAAGCCCTTGGAGCTCCTCCAGTCCAACCATGACCCTCACCCTGACCGTTCCCAACTCCACCAGATCCCTCAGCGCTGGGTCAGCCCGACTCTTCAACCCCTCCAGGGATGGGGACTCCCCCCCTGCCCCGGGCAGCCCCTTCCAACGCCCAACAGCCCCTTCTGCAAAGAAATACTGCCTCAGAGCCAGCCTGACCCTGCCCTGGCACAGCTTGAGGCCATTCCCTCTTGTCCTATTGCTTATTACTTGGGTCAAGAGACTCAACCCCCCCTCTGCACCCTCCTTTCAGGGAGCTGTAGAGGGCCAGGAGGTCTCCCCTCAGCCTCCTCTTCTCCAGACTAAACCCCCCAGTTCCCTCAGCCGCTCCCCATCAGACCTGTGCTCCAGACCCTGCCCCAGCTCCGTTGCCCTTCTCTGGACACGCTCGAGTCATTCAATGGACTTTTTGGGGTGAGGGGCCCAAAACTGAACCCACTCATCGAGGGGCGGCCTCACCAGTGCCACTGGTGGAGGCAGCACCTGCGGGGCAGTAAGGCAGCAGCATGTTCCAGCACCAGCACTGAGCCTGGCAGGACATGTGTCTGTAGGCCGGCACATCGGTGCTCACACATTTCATCTCACTTCCACAGCAGCTCACCAAGACACTACGTGGAGAGACTCCACTACTGGACAGCCCCTGCTGACCAAGCAGCACACACAGGCTTTGTTTGTCTTACTGAGAAGTCTAGTGAGTCACCCCAAAAAGAAATCTCCTACTCTGGTGTTACTGGGACTGTGCTCTCTTGTCTCACTGCTGAACAACATCCTGATTGGCCCTTCAGGATATTATGACAATCGCTTAAAGGCTTTTGTGCTCTGATACTCATCCTGGCTGGAGCCTTCTTCCTTGCAGATTGTAGGCGAGATAAAAACCACACTGATACATCAAAAGATTTTTCAATTAAAAAAAATCACTCTATTTCATTACCAGGTAGAATTTCATTCTAGTAAGGCTCTTTATATAAGTTAAATAATTATTTTAATAAAAAGAAATAAATACTTCTCTCTTCACATTAGATAATTCTCGGGAGACAGAAAAAAACAAAACAAAAAAAAAAACCCAAACCAATAAACCAACCCCAACTATAGGGGCTTCACTATGGATTTGTTACAAATCAAAAAGATGGTAAATGCTTTCTTGCTATGGTCATCACAAATCCAGTTTTAGGAATCAAGTAGATCGTAGATGTTCCAGAAACAGAAGAAAACTCTCCTTGAGGAAACAGTAGCTAAGCACATTGTCCTTGAGAAGGTAAGTTCACAACTGTTAAGACCACCAAAGATGAGAGTCCCATTTGTGCATCGTGCAGCCATGTGTGCTGTGAGGTATAAGCACCCATCCCAGTGGCAGAGGTTCACAGCGTTTGTTCTTAACCGTTCCCTTGGTGAAGTCACAGTCTTTCTGGGCTTGCACTTCAGGTGCATTAGCTAATTTCAAAGAGAGTTACTGTCTCCAAAATCAGGGAAAAAAACCAAAAAAACCTTATCCACTACTTCATAGCCTAAAGAGGAAAATTTGTGTGCCTGCTGCCTTTTCAAATAAAGTATTGGAAAAGTAACTAAAAGAAGAGTTAGTCACCCCAAGGTGATCACAGTGTTACTCTAATAGTGCATGTCTCACAGCAGCTGCTGATGGATTATTTCCCACACCATCTTCTTGCGGAAGTAAGGCATGTCATCCTGAAAAGCAAAGAAAAATCCATTCAATATGAAGTCATGGCAGAACGAGGCAGAAACTACGCACAAACACCCAGTTAATTCTTTAATGTGAAGCTCCTTTCAAGAACTGTCAACCCTTGCCATTTGGCTACAACAATGGGTTTCACCCACACAGCTCCTAAGAGGGGGATGTGACTAAACCAGATTTACTTGGCCACACAGCATCTTACAGGCACTTGAATAAAAGACCACTGCGTTGGAAAATAACCAGTGTCTTAACTGGTCAATGAAACCTGTTTCTCCAAATGATATGAAGGCCAGATATCACAAACCTGCTGGCTGCAGTATCTCGCCCAAGAGAAATCTCACTGATTCAACTAGAAAGCAGATACCAGATGTCAGGATGGAGAAGACAGCTCTGCCCTGCTGAGGCCCCTTTGAAGTTCCAACCACCAAAACCAGAGAAAGGTACAAAACCTCAGTCCCTGCCCCAGACACAATTAACAGCTGCTGCCTAACTTCCCTGGCTCTTGTATCTGTGTGAAAAAGTCTGGAGCTGTTTATAACCTTCACTCACCTGTGTAAAGGTTATGGGTTTGTCTCTGGAGATATAATCTGCGTATTTGCACAGAAAAACCCCGCAGTCACTTCCATTCTCTTGCTGAGGAATTTCCTAATGAATGCAAAGAAGATGGAGAATTTTCTTCTATCTTAAAAGAAAAGCCATTTGGAAGTAGCACACATTACCCACATGAACAATACACTAACCACACACTTGGGAAACTCCTTGCATAACCCATTTACCGCTCCCAAACACAGGAATAGACCCAATTAACTGCACAACACCCCTCCCCGCTGCTTCCTTTACTTGGATGTTACAATCCAAATTCTTGGCAGGCGGACAAGGGATAGCAACCTCCTCCCTGCAAGGTGTCTTGAGGTTTGCAGTGTCCTGTTTCTTAGAGTCTTTAGATAGTGTTTTTTACTATTAGCTTGTTGAGAAACATCAGCTCAACCCTTTCCTTTGTCACATGCCAGGATTTGTGCTGCAAACAAGAGCCTACATTTGACAGCAGCTAAACAGGTTTTTAAATTTGACTTGCGAAATGGGGGCAAAGCCAGATTCACCAAAATGTGTCAGGCTAATTGAAAAAAAAAAGTATCCATCCAGCAAGGAGAGGCACTGCTTGAGGATTTCATCCCAGCATGGTTTCCTGGTCCACCCGCAGCCTGAGGTGGTACCATAAGAACACAAGATGCTTATGGCCGTTTCTCTAAAGGCTTGGACTTCTTAGAAAGTGTTAAGACCTTCATGACAAGCAGTTATAGTTCACATTTCAAATCCAACTAGTGCTCACATACATGTTCCTCCATGCTGTGAAGAGTCCACTCTGAAAAAGTCAGCTGTAGATTTCTTTTCTGCTGGCTTTCTTCTTGCAGGTAATAGCTGTTTAAAACAAAACAAAATCACTCTTCATCTCTGTAACTTAGGCCGATAAAAAAAAAAAAAAGAGCTGCTGAAGGATCACAGGAAGATGAATGGCAGGACAGTAAAATGTCAGAGGATCCTCACAGCAGCTGATTTAAGGCATTTGGAGGAAAAAATACAAATCTTAAATTTACAAACACAGTGAGGGGCTGTGAGCTAATGGTCAGGAATGAGACCAGATGATCAGGAATGAGAACAACAATTCCAACAGAGACTTCCACAAAAGTGTAAACTCATTGCTAAGTAGAGGTCAAAAACACCCTCCAAATCCCATGTTATCAGAGGAGGAACAGAAATACTAAGCAAGGAAGCATAATGGCATAATTCCACTGTGTGGCTTAATCCCCCACACCGGGTGCACCTCCAGAAAAAACTCAAAAGCTTTTGGGCTAATACCTCGAGCTGAGGAAGCTCCCAGGCCACCAGTTGCTGAAATAAGACTCCTAAAGAAAAATTTATTTGATGCAGACCTGTTCTTTATACCCTCTTCCCAGTCATCTGCTGTTAACTGTTCAGGAGAGCACTGGACTAAAACAACACTTGGTTTGTCTCTGTGGGGCTGCTAGAATCACAAAATGATCTTGGTTGGAAAAGCCCTTGGAGCTCCTCCAGCCCAACCATGACCCTCACCCTGACCGTTCCCAACTCCACCAGATCCCTCAGTGCTGGGTCAACCCGATTCTCCAACCCCTCCAGGGATGGTGACTCCCCCCCTGCCCTGGGCAGCCCATTCCAACACCCAACAGCCCCTTCTGCAAAGAAATACTGCCTCAGAGCCAGCCTGACCCTGCCCTGGCGCAGCTTGAGGCCATTCCCTCTTGTTCTATTGCTTATTACTTGGGTCAAGAGACTCAACCCCCTCTCTGCACCCTCCTTTCAGGGAGCTGTAGAGGGCCAGAAGGTCTCCCCCTCAGCCTCCTCTTCTCCAGACTAAACAACCCCTCCTGCTTGTGCTCTACGAAGCTGTTGGATTAAGGGTTTTTACTACTTCTGCATTAGTGGCAAAGACATCTAAGGATGCTGGTTTGCACAACATGAAAATCTGTACCCGTTACATTTGAGATGTGTGCCATGCCAGCTGATATATCTGGAAAAGCTTCTGTCTTGTATTCAACACATCTGTCTTGAATAAGAATGTCACACAAATAGCACGTAGTAAGGACATGACGGTAGCCTGCTGGGGTAGGCTGGGGGGAAATATGGTGGTTTTGTTTAAAACACTGAACAGAATAGAAGAGGTATAGACAAACTGAGAAGGAGCACGTTACATAGCTCACAACATTACAAGGGGGGCTGGGGAAGGTCTCAGTACAAGAAAAGGATAAAAGAGGTAAGCAGTGAAGAGTAAAAGTATGTGTAGCTGGTCACAAATAGGAGTGTGTATACCCTAGGACACCAACATTACTGAGTTGCAACCTGAAAGTTCTTACAGAAGGGGGAGTTGAAAAGCTCTTGCAAGGCTGTAATCCTTCTACAGTAAGGTTGGTATTTTGAATCACTCCCCTGAAATTCTTCCCTCTCAGTTTTATTCATTACTAACAAAGTCAGTACACATGTGCCATGGGCCTATCACTTATTTGACAGTGACACTTTGTCTGTGCCTAGAGTGGGAAGTTGGCAAAATCCAGGCATCCAAGACCCTGGGTAGAGGGGCTGATGTGAAATTTGGGTAAATAGCTAGTGTTTCACAATTCGCAGCAAGTGAATCAAATATTTCTGTTTCATATCTACAAGAAATGTGAAAACTTGCAGTTGTGTTACAGGAACAAAATCCAAACCCACCTCATAATTCACAACATAAAAGCATTGACTGAGCAGTTACTTACAACAAAGTTTCACAGATTTCGTCCTTTTTGTGTCCTATTGAGTCAAAGTATTTGATAGTCTTCTTTCTGATGTCTATGACCTGTTATTAAAAGGTGACTGTTAGACAAAGCACAAACTTGTGCTGCACACACACCAAAACCTAAATGACTTTTCTTGCTGGTTTTTTCCCCCCATCCAATTCTAAAAAAAAAGCCAGTCTGACTCACCACTAGTGTCCAGTGGTGTCTCAAGTGAATGGGCACGAAGATGAGGTCCTTCTTGAAGAGATCCACATCTCTGGTCCATCTTCTTACTGCGTTATAGCCCCCAGAAATTAGTTTGGGGTAAAAGAAAGTACTAAAAGCATGGACTGCTGGATATCCTTCTTTCTTATTTCTTTCCACCAGAAGACACATGTAGAAATTAATGATCTGTACCATAAAGAAGAGCAAACTTGAAATGTAAAATAAAACATTAGCTTACCAAAAGAAAAATACAGCAACATGTCTTTGCTGGCCACCCTTAAGTACACAGGTGAGAGAACTCCAGCCTCATCTGTCAGATTTTGTTCTGAAAATTCTGTACTCAGTTACTTTTGCAGTTTGATAAAAACACCTGCCACCCACTCCAGTAACCTAGACTAACTCCTGGAAGCTTCATAATACAAGAAATAAAGTAACTTCCAGAAAGACTAGACCCTTAAGTACTGATATTTCTAGGCGGTACAGTGGGGGCTCATCAAATAACTTTGAAAAGTCTTCTGCACACAGTGAAAGGGTATTTTAAAATAAATGCTGAATTGAAATCTCATTGTGCTGCAGGTAGTTTTACCTCATCATTTAGCCACTGAAGGTCCATTAGTGTGTGGATGTCCTCACGAGTGACCTTTAGTTTGAAGGCACTGCTCATGATCTCACCTGGATCACCTCTGCCAAATGCGGCACTGACCTCTCTCTCCATGGCCTGAAATGAACAATTAAACAGGGAAAGATTTGTGAAACAAGAGCATTGAGGACACTAACCTGTGGGCAACTTTCAGCTGAAACAAGGCCTGTAAATTAAGCTCAGGAGACAGAGCAACTGGCTTTGCCAGTTTTTTGTTAAGTTATAAATAGCACTTTTTGGTTGGTTTGTTTCAGCATCCTAACTTTAAACTTTAGAGACCAGGTTTGCTTCTATTTTTTTTCACAAAGGAAGCTGATATAAGATGTATGGACTAGTAAACACACTAAAGCAGCTGAAAATGGAACCAAAGTACAGCAAACAACCTTCCCACTAATGCTGCAGCCCTCGCAATACCGAGGTTTGAGCCAGTAACAGCAGGCATTCTCCATGCCAAGGCAGCTAAGTCAGGGGCCTGAAAGAAACTGGAAGTGAGGGACTTCAAACGGAACTGAGTCCAGGTTGTGCATGCAACTGGTTGTAATATGGATGTTTCTACCTAAGTCTGCTTAAGGAATGCAAATAAACTCCTAGGCCTATTAGTACAAAACACTCGGACCTACAATAGCATCTCCTTCTTGGCTGAATCTGGACTAGCAAAATAAGAGAAACACTTGTTTTTTTCTGGTACTGAGCATGATTCTGCAGACTTTAAACTCTGGATTTGCTAGCCCTTTCCAAGTCAATCCTCAATGGGCAAAAAAGGACGTGGTCAAACAGATCAGCACAACTGTAACTCTGAATAATAAAAGCAGCCAAATTTCATACCAATAGGGGAATCGGAACTCTGCTGAGAAGTGTAACTACGTTAACTCCTGTGACCACTGTCACATGCAGTGCACCCACACCCAGTGCACAGACATGACTCTCTGAGATCCCGAGGACACACATAAGATGCCCAGGTCCCCCATAAGCAGTGTGACACCACGGATCAGCAAGAGCTTATTTTTCAGGTTCTATCACCACAGTAGGACAGGTTAAGAGGCTGAGCCAATACAACTGTATGCATTAGGTTAGTACTGCTCTGGGAGACTGTTGTTAAACCTGGACTAAATCTTGTCCTGGTTGCAGAAGCCCCACAAACCCTTAGGTTAGCACAGCAGGAGTGTGTGTAGCACAATAAATCCTCAGAAGCAGCTTTATTGCTAACCCTTGCACTGTGAAGTCATAGCTGCAGACACTCAGTAACAGGTTAAACGCAAGTTTTTAACTTTCGAAAAGCCTTAAGAACCACCCGTAATAAAGGGAGTTCTTTGCAGCTGTTTCACAGCCTTCTGTTTTGTCTATCAGACTGTCACTTAAGTTACCTCTGTGAGTGGAGAAAAGTGTTCTACTGTTTTTGCTGGGCTTTGGAATTTCTTTTCTTCCACACCAAGGACAGATGATTTTCTGTTTAGAACAGGTGCCAGGTGCAATCGGAGAAATGACTCTTCTGAGACTTCAGCTCCATGCTGTTTCTGTCAGACAAAAGGACATTTAGCAAGCAAGCAAGCAAGCACAGATTTTTTTGGCTAGGGGACAATGCAGAAAATCTTGCTCATGTATAAAACTGGGTTTTTCTACATACATCCAACCAGCAAACTCCAAAGTTACTTTTTACTGATGACTGCATTCCAACTGTGCACCCATGTAATGCTGCACTCAAAACTAAACAGAGGCATGAGAAGCAGAAAATCAGTTTAGCTTGGACTAGCGTTAAGAACCCCAGCAAAGCCTCACCTGTAGGTAGGACACAAGTCCTAGTAGACACAAGTATCTCACAAGTTGAGATTAAGACTAATATTTCTGATTCCCACGAGTAAAATTTTATTCTTGATCTAAGTCCTGACCAGAGATGAAAGTCAGAGATGTACTTCTTATCTCACAAAACAAGAGAAGACTAAAGATACCACAGTCCAGCTTTGCAACTCAACTAAGTCTGTGCACTAAAGATTTTGAAGCTACACCCAAAACATTGAAGGGGAACAATAAAAACAACAACATTAATGGCAGTGAGAAACCCTTTGTGATAGTGCTACTCATCAAATAATGCTCCTGCTTTCCCTGGGAAAAACAACCAGGACAAATACATTATTTGCTCAACAAGATATGTAAGTGAAGAGTGCAAAAATTTCTGATCACAAACAGCTATATTTTCCTAAACAGTGAAATAATGAATAACATAAGCTTACCCCTGCAATGGCTTGTTTCACTGAGTTTCCCTGTTCATGAGAGTTTTCTGCTGGTGTGTAGTACCTGTGAGAAGAGAGAGAGAGAGAGAGAGGGAGGGAGAAAGAAAGAGAATGAGAAGTGAGCTGCATATCAGTACTGTCCTAGGTAATGCTCAAGAATTCACCTTCTGGATAAGAAATGCTTTTTCAAGGCTGATCCTGACTAGAGCCTCAGCTGCACACATGAACATGGCACATCATCATCTCAGCTTCCAGCACCATTTTTTCATAGCAGCAAGACTGGGATAGAATGAAGAGCTGGGAGCTTTGCAAACTTTCTTCCATCTACATGTGGAAGACCCCTTTTATTTCTCTTTATTGGTTTCATTATTTAGAAAACAGGGAAGCAGCCAGCACTTCCTCTATCAAGTGCGTTGTGGTCTACTGGTGATAAACACTGCATGCTAGGTGTTACACTGCAAGGTATAACATGAACATCTGCAACTATACCTGCATCCAAATCTAGTTAGCTTACAGAAACTAAGATCAGCACATTGACTCAAAAATGGGACAGGTACAGGATGTTTACTTGCCTTCTATAGGCTAGTCAAGAGAGTGACTATCCCCATTTGGAGAGGATTATCATTAAAACCACGTAGACTCTGAAGAGCAAACAAATACACAGACATTACAATTGTCCATAGATATGTCCCTTCTTCAAAAACAAGAATTTGCATTGTCACCAAAGATCCCCTTTTTCAGGAGGGAGACGTACAACAGACTCTCACAGTATTGTACACTCACTATGCTTTAAAATCTTTCAGTCCAGCATGGTAAGAATAGATATGACCTTGTAAAATTACTTCAGTTAGTAGCTAAACCTTCATAAAAAGGCAATAAAAAGTTCCTTTTACTTGAACTCATCATACTCTACCAGTTATTTCCTTCTCTCCCCTCAAGCTTAGGGGATCCAGTGACAATTGAAGCACAGGAACAATGCTGCACAGCTAAATATAGTGCTGGTGTTTAAAGCAGGGAAAAGAATAGGGACAAAATTGGCTAAAAAAACAGGACTGCCACAACTCTGCTCCCATCTATGCCTTCTCCTCTCTCACTTAAAGGAAGGTCACTGCAGAAAGACAGGTCCGTCAGACTGCCATACAAAATCTCTCCCTATAGCTGCGCTTACTGCAACCAAAACCCCATTTCCCTCAACACCACACAGCCATCTGAACTCACATCCCTGCCAGCTCAGTCAACGCAAATGAGTCCACCGGCCTCTCAAACAGGCAGACAACCCAACAGCATGCTTCCTTTTGGGTCTCATAATCAAACCCAAGGCAGCCTGTAAGTCACAAAATCTGCCTCAGTCCCACCAGGCTTTACAAGCTCTCTAATCCTTATGCTTAGGATGCTAGTTTCAAAGTGAAAAAAATGTCTACTCATTAATGGTTTGGCAGAAAGATACTCAAAAGCAAAAATGGATTCTGCAGATCCAAGGACAACTTGGTACAGCTGTCACTCTCACCCTCACTGACTTTCTTCCCACAGCAAAGGACCCAGAAAACACCACACCAGCACAACCCTGTTTGTCCCACAGCACAGCTCTAGTGGGTATTTTAGACACAACTGGCTTGCGAGCACCTCCAGAGCCACAAGCTAGCTACTCCTCTTCCACAGCACTGAGACGATAAATATGATTTAAATATGGTTTGTCTTCTTCTGGACACTGCTGGAGGCTGCAAGAGACAGGCACACAGAACTAGAAGAAACAAGAACCATGATTAAAAGAGACTCTACCTGATCATATCACTTCTCTGAGACCACTGTGGGCTGCAAACATCTGGACATTTGGTACCTGCACAGAAAAGGAGTAATATGAAAACAAGAAGTCAACTTTCAATCACCATCAGATGTATACAGCTCTTGGTTTCTGGGTCATAAATGTAAAAAAAAACCCCAAACTTTTAATGATGACTGTATGGTTAGGAAGTTCAAACTCTGGCAAACAGTGTGAACTCTGAATATCATTTGTGAGTGTATAAGAGCTGAAGCAGGGAATTTATTAAGTTTTAAATCCTAGATTGCACGCTTGACTAAACAAGTGATTTTTGCAAAGCCAGATGCTCCTCCAGGCTCAGAAGAATAGCTCGTCATTTTTCCATGACAAAACAAGCTTTCCCCAAATTCTAGTACCTTCTCAGAAATAATTTCAAAACCCATATGACTGCACAATAGAGTCACAGATATGTAAAAAGTAGTATTGATGAAAAATAATTTAAGTAAGGGAAAAAAAAGACTGGGACAACATTAAATGCATACGCATGGTATTATAACACACGGCTGGTACAATAGCAAATCGCTTGTCAGCAAACCAGTTTAACTAGCCCACTCTGCAGTAGACAACTAAGGTCACCTTCAGTAGTTACAGTATCTTCAACTAACTAAAAGTGATCTACAAAAGAAGCTAATGCTATCAGCAGTGGTACTGTGCAGTTAGCTCACCTGTTTTTGAAGCTCTGCTGACACAGAAAGTCACACATAGCATTAAAAAGGGATTAAAGAGTAACACATAAGCACAACTCTGAGTTAAGAGGCATCTAAGGGTGCACAGTAACGTACCACTCTGCCCTAGTACAAACAGCCAGATACGATGACATTCTCCTCTATAGTGCAGTTACCTCTGCAGCTACAGACAGCACTGGTACAGTATCATCTCTCAAGTACAATTTTAAAAGAACTTTTTCACGTCAACAAAAAACTTACAAAGTCATTTTAGCCAATAACTAGCTATGACTTGGGGGGGGTGGGGGGTGGGTCCCCCTCTTTTTTGTCCCTCCTTTCTTTACAAAGACAGCTCACCTCATTCTAAGAGCTGACATTAGCTACGCTGGCATAAACACGCTGGCTGATTTAGATTTCCTTATAAACAGACACAGATTAATGACACACCAGCACTGACAAATCTTTTAAGCATAACCTATATATACACTTTGAGACTTAAAGAAATGACCTATTTGAAGTCTATCTACAAAGTGGAACAGATATGAATCACAGGGATACTCACTGGTCCATAGCCTCATATACGGATGGACATCTCCTCCATTTTTTTGTCCTTCCAGGTGACTCACATTCATCATTGGTTCCTTGGAGTAGGCTTGAACACTTTGGTGCAGCAAAAAACACCAGAAAATAATCACAGTTTTAATTTTTATTTCTATATGTATGGTATTTGTTATCAATGCATACCAGTTCACTAGAAAGGATACATTTTATTCATACACAGCTGTCTATGATAGAGTTGGAAGCCATAGTTAAAGCAATATAAATAGGTAAAGTAAAATTAGGCTGTTTAACCCCTTAATAGAAACATCCTGTCTCCTGCACTGGTTTCATGACAAAATACAAAGGGTATTTTCATGAGGAGGCAGTTCATTCAGAAGTTCAGCTACTTTCAACTTGTGTGTACTGAAGATATAGGAGTCAAATTTTCTGTCTCTTCAGAATTTGAAGAGAGACTAATCAATCATGAAATTGTATTCCTTTACCATTTCACCAGCAAATCAGTTGCTCTTTTGTCTTTTCTTTAAAAAGTATTCTTTGCACATCCTACAAATAACTGGATTAATCTGAGAAGGCCACTTTATGGGACAAAACAGCATTTGTTACAACCCTCGACCAATTCTTTTCCATCTATTTATTAAAGATTATGCTGACACTGAGAATGCAGTGTCCACAACATACATACTTCTGGGACATTTTACTTCAGACCTGCTCAACTCTGACCTCAGGGACTACATGCTCATTAGCAGTTGGAGCCCATTAGACACGTTCCACAGGAACACTCTCTGTGTTTAGTTTCATCTGAAACTGTTTCACATGCTCCATGTCTGCTCTGAGATATGAGCCAAACCACAATAATCAATGACTGGGAGATTAGAAGCTGGAAGCAGGGCCCTGACCCACCCTAAAATGTTATTGCCAGTGCACCTAAAATTACATGAGATACTATTTTCCACATAATTTTCATGCACCAGAATCTTTAATCATGGTATGCTCTTCTGAAGTCACGTGTTTACATATTTTCTAGCTGTGAACCACTGAGCAGAGATTGGGATTTTTCTAACCTTGGTAACAATCCATGTTTCACAGCTTTTTAAGGAAACTGCAAGAAAGCATGGCATTTTCTGCCATCTCACTGCGTAGAAAGGCATCAGTACCATCTTGGCATCACTATTTTACAAGAATAAGGTCCCTTCTGCACAACTTTGAAGTGTAATTATTCCACTAAGATAATGGCTTCTATTATTTTTGTGTTTTTCACTTGTGTATTTAACTTCATGCAATCCCTCGACACAATTATGAGATATTAACTATACTTATCACTGGTAATATATGAATCAGAATTACACACAAGTTCTCCTTTGCAGGTTGCTTTAGGAATGGGAATTCTACACACAAGTGGGATTTTGTCAACTTAGTGTACTGCAAAGAGAAAACTTCCTAAAATTTTGTGTGAGAAAAACAGGGGGAGGTGGAAAGGAACACAGAAAATTCTGGCATTCCCCATGTTTACCTTAAATTTCACATTCTCACATAAAACCGGATTCCGGACCAAGGGAAACCTCATCAATTGCAAACAAGAGGAAGATAAATTCTTTTTCATGGTGCTACAGAATAACCAGTGCTGTGGCTTTTTAGACCAGAAGTTACACTGTCAGCACTAAGAACTAGATTCTACCTTTCCTAACAGAGACAAGAAAGGAGTCTCAGAATGAGAAATGCAACCATACCAACAAAGGAATCTTCATCTTTAGAATATACATTCAGAGCATATTCATGCTTCATTGAAGGGAGCTGAAGGGGGGTGTTAGTGTTTTAAGAATTAGTTTGCCCCAACACCTGCCCTGGAACACTGAGTGTAGGAACTCTTCCACTTCCATGTGCAACACCTACAAAGTTACCACCAAAAAGTTAATGGTTATTTTTTCTGTAATTACTTGCGGAAAGTTGGCAGCTGTGGATTAGGGCAGCTTCTAGGATGTGTCTTCTTCACCAGTTGCAAGAGCTGTTTGTATTTTGCCTTTTCTTCTCGCTGAACATCCTGGCAGAATGGAGGGAAAAACCAAACAGATTAGAACCACCGTATATGAAGCAAATGTTTGTAATCTGGATATAGTGCAGACTGCACAGGCTGTTCCCAAAATACTGGCATATTATTCAAATTTACTTTAGCAGGAATTCCCACACCTCCAATTTGTGATAGCCTTGCTCTAGGAGCTCGTGTCCCACTATAAACCTCAAAATTCCTGTTTCCTCAAATGAGGGCTTCTTCTCTTCAGCTGTGGTCTGCACCTCTTGCATAATAATTCAGCCTAATAAACATTCCTGTCCATATACATAATGATTGGGTGCTATGAGTCCCCAGGGCATCTTAATCATACTCGACAGCTTGCTGTGGACTGCTTCTTCGACACCCCAGTGTAAGTTCTTCTCCCATGTAAACTAGGTTTATTAGGAATTTTCCAAAGTTGGTTCAGATACTGGATGGAAAAGACAGGGAAACACTTCTCAAATAGTCCTGTAAGGAAGAATTATCAGCAACTGAGTGGGTTTTTTGCCTGCATTATCCTTTTAAAGTTGGTATGTAAAGATCACAGTTGGGCTAGGTTAAGGCCAAAATAGCGAAACAACTTTGCAACAAATATACATTTAGTGACAAGGCACTACAGCTCCACTTACAAGTGAAACTGGCTGGAGAGTCCTCCCCCAGTACACCATTTCTATCAAAATGGTTTCAAATTCAATCTTTTGGCAACAGAGCACTGCTCTGTTCCAAGCCATGACACATGTAGAGGCAATTAAAATGCTATGTGCTGATTTTCCAGAGGATTCCTTCAACTTCATTAACTACACCCTCTGTGCTGTTACCAACTGCCACTTTGGTGTTTACATACAGTTTTGTTACAACTCCTAAGTTGTTTCATTTCAAAAGGTGCCCTTCTCACCCAGCGTACCTCTTCAGCAGTACAGAAAAGCCTCCCCATTTTGATGACTTCTGAAGTCGTGGATTCTGGCTTTGCGCGCTCCTTAATAGGTGGCCTCAGTGTTAAGATGCTCTCTGGAGCAGGTTTGATGTGGTATTTGACATTCCTGCTTGTGCTAAAAACATCAACAGCAAAAGAAAAGAGAACATTCAGATATGCACCTCCACCACCGACTATTTTGTAAAGCATGTACACTGAAGATAATGGAGAGAGACATGAGATGTTTACGACTTTCAGATGAAGACCTGCTGTCTTCAGCTGGCTAATGGGAAAGTACAGAGAAGTAAAAGTGAAAAGCAAAACAACTGCACGTCACAGCTGCACTCAGAGGCACATGTTATGTCCATGGCAGTGTAAGTCCTCAGTCAATATGGAAGACTAAAGAACCACGCAGGTGTGCTATTCATACAGCTCTCAGCTCTTCTAAAAGCCAGCACACTGGCACCAAAGCACAGCTGCTGCTTTCCTCACAGAATCATTCTGGCAGAGACCTCTGGAGATCATCTGGTCCAAAGCCCTGCCCAAGCAGGGTTACCCACAGCAGGTTACCCAGGACTGTGTCCCATCAGGTTTTCAAACACCTCCAAGGACAGCGACTCCACAATCTCTCTGGGCAACCTCTGCCAGTATCTGACCACCCTCAGAATAAAAAAGCTTTCCTAATGTTCAGATGGAAATTTTCTGGTTTTCAGTTTGTGCCCATCGCCTCTTGTCCTGTTAGTGGTCACCACTCAGAAGAGTCTAGCTCCGTCCTCATCATTCCCTCCCTTCAGATGTTTATACATATTGATGAGATCCCTCTGAGCCTTCTCTTTTCCAGGCTGAGAAGTCCCAGCCCTCTCAGTCTCTCCTCAATGAAAGATGCTTCACTCTTTGTGGCTCTTTGCTTTGACTCACTCCAGTAAATTCACATCTTCCCTGTGCAGGGGAGCCCAGAGCTGGACACGACACTCCAGAAGTGGCCTGAGCAGAAAGGAAGGATAACCAAACCTGACCAGCTGGAAACGCTATTCCTAATGCAGCCCAGGATGCTGTTGGCCTTTGCCACGAGGATGTAGCACTGGTTCATGGTCAGCTTGACGTCTGTCAGGATCTCCTCCTCTGCAGAGCTGCTTTCCACCTGGCCAGCCCCCAGCATGTCCTGCTGTGTGGAGCCGTTCCATCCCCCACAGGGCTTTCCGGTTCTGCTTGTTGAACTTCATAAGCTCCCTGCCCAGTTCTCCAGCCTGGCCAGGTCCCTCTGGATGGCAGCACACCCATCGGGTGCACTGGCTGCTCCTCCCAGTTCCCTAGCACTTGCTGAGGGGGCTCTCTCTCCCCTCGTCCAGCCCATTAATGAAGATGTCAAACAGCATTGGCCCCAGCACTGATCCCTGGGGTACACCACCAGTGACTGGCCTCCAACTGGACTTTGTCACTTTGTCACCACAGTACCTCCACGCTGCAGTAAGCACGAGATGACCAAGCCAATTTTGAGACTGGAAGGCAAACAGTAGCATCAAATCACATCATGACCCACTCCCTCCTCCTTCCAGCTGTTTCTGACTGAGGTAAGTGTACAAACCACCTCAGCATCCCTTAAGCAATAATTCAAAACAAATGCAATGTAAAGGCAAGTCTTTTTATCAAATCAGGAACTAGTTTATGCCAAAGAGCATGGAGGTTTTTTTGAGAGAAGGTTGTTGGTTTTGTTGTTTTGGTTTTTTTTTTTTAAACAACTTATTTTTCCTGTCAAATTAACTTTTTTCACAAGCATTCCTGGTCTCAGTCTCTTCTCAAATTCAACACTTCCTCCTGTCATGGACCTTTAATCTTTATCTAATGATTTAATCTTATCCCGTGTCTATGAAATATCTGGATTTAAAGAAAAAGTTTAAAGTTGGTTGGAGGAAAAAAAGCCAAACAGCTGGAGACCTTCCTTAGTACAGCAGCCTGGAGGAATTCCAGAATACCTTGGAAAAATATTGCTATGTGGACACACATACAGATGTTAGGCAACACAGAGGAAATTCAAGCATGAAAGATAGCAAACCCTTCAGAGAAGTCAAAGAAAATGGAAAGATTTTTACCTTGGACATGGAATTGCCCTATGAGAAAGGGGTAGTGTTTCCTTATGCAAGCAAGTATTGGTTTCACAAGGCATTGTATCTACGAGAGAAGAGCATAAACCATCAGTAATTATAAAATGAATCTGAAGAGTTTTATGAGTTTACAGAAAAGAACCTCACCAAAGATAAATTATTTTCATTTTCTCTCTTTCATCGTAATATTATTTGTGCTATGTTACTTTAGGATATTTTCAGATTTTCGTATTGGCAACTACAGAAAGCTGTGCACACAACATATTGGCAGCCTAAACCTGAAATAGAAAAAGGTTATAAGGATCTACTACCTAAAATTAGCATTTAAAACAATTTACTTCTGGCAAGCTAAGAGTGGACATACCAGAACTGAAGGACTGCATCCAAGGCAGCTCTTGTACTGAGATGACAAGAGAAATGCCTGGCCCCAATCCAGAAGCAATGCCAGGGAAGAATGACTTCACACTCAAGTATTTCTAGATGCTACCTAGGTTTTGTGCCTGCAATAATCTGTACATAAGCCTAGGGGTGAAGCTGCACAGTACACAAGGCAGGGTGAAAAAGAAACTAGTTAATAACTTGATGTCTGCTTACCAATATGTAGCTTTTCTATCTCTAGCACAGACCATCCTGGCCTTTCAGGTGAAGAGTCAAAAGAAGTGAACTGAGCCTTAAATAAAAAAAAAAAAAGTACCAATGTGAGTATGACCTGAATGTGAATCCAAGCAAACACAAACTTCATGAAATTTAGTCAGTTCTATTATGACTTGGCAACTGTGATTTGCTGGTTCAGACTACAGCAGAATGCAAATCTCTGACAAATACACTTTAATTTTTTAATACAGGCTCTCATACATACAGTGATTAAAACAACACAAGCTTATCACTGAGTTCTCCTCAGTCAGCTCCTAAACATTCTGAAGTGTGATAGTTTGAAAAATATGGTACCTTGAAAAATATGGTTTGTACAAATAAGAGGAACATTCTCAGGAACAAATAATAATAGAGCATGATGGTTTCTTATTCCTCTTATCATGTGGGGCAATAAGAAAAATAACACTACACCTTTGCACCAAGCTAGGGAGTGAGCAGTTCATGACTCATTTTTACAGAGCCAAAGTCCTACAGGAATCCTCTCCTGGACTGGTGGATAATAAATCTAGCAGGAAGAGGTTTATCCAGAGGAAGTATGCAGTTCTTCTTGTAAGGTATTGCATACTGACTCCTCAACTACAAGATTGAGTAAAAGAGTAACAGTTTGCAAACACATTAAAGCTACAAACTTGAACAACTGTAAAGTATCTGAAAGGCAACAAATATTTTGCTCCTTCCTCAGCTGCAAGTGCTAGAGCAGGGTGTGCAAACCTGAGTAAGGCAAACCCCGCACACAAGAGCTGCCTGCTAGAGGGGGCAAAGAACCACCTACTGCTGTACGGTCTCAGAGCAGGCCCAACATCCGGATGCATTAGGGAGAGCCGCTTCCTCTTTCATCTTGCACAGGTTCTATCTACTTTCAAAATCCTTGCTAACCTTTCCTGCAGACTCTGTGATTGGAGTGGCATGGCTGACTGAAGTCTTCTGGTGTTCTCTCGTTGCCTTGGCTGGCAACTTCACCCCAGCAGAAGCTTTCTCTTTAAGCTCAGAGATGGCAAAATCTAAAAACCAAAGACAGGCCAGGTAAGAACACGATTTGAAAGGGCATTTAATTTTTTATTTGCATTACAGCCCATCCCCTTAATCCCACCTAAAGCAGGGCAACTCATTTCAAGTTACATACCCTTCTGCCAACTGCAGTTGGTGGTGATTTTTGCATTAGTTGGCTCATTGAGCAGTCTCTCAGAGCTGGAGCTCAAAGACTAACCTATGAGTCTGCCAGCCAGATCTGCAAAAACACCCTGCTTTTGGGAGCATCCCTGTTTCTGGAGAAGCAGCACAGGGTGCAATTTATCCTCCTCATCCCCTCCACACATGCATGTACTCTTGCAGTTTATTATGAATCACTCTGGTCTAGATGAGAGAAGCCCTTCACTGAGGTCTAGAAACCAAAGCTACTCAAGCCTGTTCTTTTCAGTATTAAAGCAGCAGAGACACGCAATCCCTCAGACAGTATTTCCAAACATCAACAAGCCAAGGCTGTCTAATAAGGGGCTATGTTAGAGATTAAATCATATTAGACAACAGAATTTGTTCGAAGATAAGAGAATGAGATGAGGGCATAGTTGGTACTATGTTCTGACAAGCAGATTTGGCCTGCTTACTAAGACGTGTGAATTGTTCCTACCAAGAGTCAGTCATGTTGCTAAAAGGAGGAGGGATAGGGGGGTGAGATATCGATTTGACGTATTTTTCAACTGTTTTATGCTCAAGCCCAAAATGCACACTAACAGTTCAGCAGCCCCTCTCATTAAATAAGGGGCAGCATCTTTTGTCAAGCAGTAAATAGGAAGCTCCACATCTCCTCGTAGAACTTGTGCTAGGAAATGTTGTGCAGCCTAAAGAGTATCATTTCTCCTGCATCACTGAAGATGGAAAAGAGGAAATGTCCACCTCAAATCATGACCAACGCAGCTGGCATCCAGAGGCACTGATGTGGCTGCAGGCAGCTGCATAATTCTACCCTGAAACACTTAGTGAAGGGGGTATCAGAGCAAGCCTCACCAGTGCTTCTCTACCCCACTGTTCTGTTCTATGTCTGGCCTCTGCTGCATCTCCATCCTTCTTCTATCTTTTCAAAATGCACTTGCCAAAATTTTCAGACTCAAACTAAGCAGATTCTTCTGTTTTCAGTTCAGCTTTCCCCGCCCCCTCCCCACTCACTAGCTCACAGAAATACCATTTTTCTCTGCCTGTTACCTTCAATTTAGTTACCTTTCCTCACAACCCAGATTCTACGTGATTTTTCCTAAGACATACAGGTTTTCTGAACTAGCAGAAGTACATTGCAAATAGAGACAGGAGGGAGCACACAGCTTTGATTTAAAATACTCTTTCTGCTGACATGCATAGTCTTATTGCCAGAGAGACCTGGGATATCTCCTGCTGGCAGTAAAAGTATTGTGCCCTGCCACAGTCAACACAGATAACATCACATTCAGGGCTGGGCCCTATGATATGGCCACATGGAAAGAATGGCTTGAAAAGTAGCAATGCTGAAGTACAAAAGCCAGAATTTTCTAAGGTATATGAAACCTAAGAAGAATTAGGCATATTAAATACTTCCATAACGTGCAATACCTGTTTTTTTCTTTTTTGCTTGAGTCTCATTAGGATCTTCCGAAGGTGGCTGGATGCTGAGGAAAAAACACACAGAACATTGTTTTGGAACCACAAGTAAGCTGCAAACAGGCTGATCTCTCTTCACAGGGCCAAAACTTCCAAAGTTAGTTCTCATATCCTGAAGGTCTCCCCCTCCAAACACCCTGGGATCATCTCAGACACACACCCCACCCCCAACTGCCACTGCTGAGCATCTCTCACCAACCCCCACCTCTCCCAGTCAATGGACCGCTCACAGAGAGCCAATTATCACAATAAAGCATATTAGGCTTCTTTTTCTCGTTGTGTTAATGCCTCCTAAGGTTTTACGTTTGGTCCTATCACCAAAAAATTGCTTAATATGTAAAGTTTTCTTCTTTCCTCAAGGAAAGAAGCATACCAGGGATTACTAAACCATCTAAATTCATAAATCACTACTCTGAGTTGCAAAGAAAAGTCTAAGTAGGACAGGAAATAAAAGGTGGGAAAGCAACTCATACATACACCCACTTAAATAACTTACTGTTAAATCAGCGCTTGTGAACTACTTCTTGAAATAATTCTTAGCTACACCCTTTCTTACAAAGCATGTCCAAGTATTGTATCAGTTAATACCATGATAAAGCCTAGCAAAAACTTTTACGTTGGGAACAGAGCGCAAAAGTTGTGCCTAATTTTTTCTTTCTCTTTGCCTCCAAAATGCCATGACAGACAGTAAAGAATCTTTGAAGAATTCTTTGGTCTTCTTATACAAAAGAATTTATTGTAAACAGTTATGCTCCCAAACTCTGCTGGTAACACTGCTTCCGGACCATCTTCTGTTTATATCAAGAGCACAAAAGGTTACAGATATCCTTAACAGCAACTTTCATACAATATAAAGAATGTTCGCTATTACTATGCTATTACTATCAAAGTCAGGCAGAAAACATTGCAGGGTAGCTGTTAAATGCAAATCTATTCCTATAAAAATACATTCTTACTCAGCATATTTGATATTGCAGAAGGTAAAACTGAAGAAGGCAAAATATTTGTATCCTCCTGCTCAATTTTTAGCAAGAGCTAACTCGTTCTGAGCTGCTCTTTGATGAAAACTTTCCAGCATCAGACTTCTCCAGGGATAAAGCACAATTCAGCCTCCTCCAGGCTACAAGCACAGTTTAAATACCTGACTCTGATTACAATAACTGTTTGGAACAGCTTTTTTTCCTCCAGCTTTAGCAAAGCACCCAACACCTATGAGAGTGTTGTTTTGTCCTTTTTTACTTTACTAACCACTTGAAGGTTTAGACTTAGTTTGATCACAAGAAAAGATTAATTATCTTTTGGTAATTCAAAATTGGGAAATCTTTGATATTCTGAAGCAGGCATGGTCAGGGAACATGGATGGGCAAAAGGCAAGGAAAAAACCAAATCTATGCTCAGCTACCTCTGTCTCCAACAGGAACACACAACCCTGCAAGAAGGTTAAACTGTGGCACTGCAACTCAGGCTTTGCCAAGGGCCTGGGAGAAACAGGTGAGCACACAGGGTGTTGAGCAATATTTGAAACATGCTGAAAAAATGGGCCAGAAAATAAAAGTATTTTGAGACTGCTCTCCATTTAAAGATGCGTTCATGCCCTCTTCCACGCTTTAGAGGAGACAGCACTTATTTACACCCAGCATTTTACTTGCCTCCTTACAAGTAGAGGAAAAAAAAAAAAAGTATTAGGAAAACCCAATAACTCTGGATACACCTATATATGCTCAGGCTCTGTACTTTTCAAAACTTCCTCCCCCACCAGTGTTGAGGACAGTTCATTAAGATTTATAACTTAAATTTGTAAAAAATTCAAGTATTCACAGGTTAATCCACACCCCCCACCCCCAAATTGCACACTTCAGTGGTGCAGCACAACAGTAGCTAACGCTTATCTACTTTCCCCACCAGTTTCACCACCCATGCTCAGAATTTTTCATCTTTCTACCGTGGGAAACCTCAAGTGGCAGAAACAACCACCACCCCGTGGTTTAGATTTCCTTGAAGAGACTCACACAGGGGAGCTGGGAACACCTTTGCCATTTTACAGCACATTTTAGAAAGCACTGTTGGAAAACTTATTTTCAGCAGGACAGCTCCTGAAGCCACCTGACACTTTCGCTTGAATTTCATCCTGCTTCGCCTGTCATTTCCAGTGATCTCTTAGCAAAACCGGGTCTCGTGGTCAGACTGTGACACGACAGCCTGCAGTGTCTACAAAGGCACGCTCTTCAGTTTGGAGTTGTGCTCTGCACAGCAGCTGCAAACAACTACTTGTGCAACAACTGGCTCTTTCCAGAAGACGCTCACTTTTCCCATTCACTCTGGAACACGAGACACTAAGTGGAGCCTCCCGGAGCAACAGTTTCTCCCAGAGGGAGCAACCATGCACTCCAAAACACGGCACATAATCCATACATTCGCTCTTTTCAGAAAGATGGAAGTGACAGGCATGGAGATGGCTTAGCCATCTGTCACTGGGAGCTCTGGGGCACGAGCAATGGTTAACGCCTGGGAAGCCATCGCCCTTTTTTTCACTTCAATGCCGTATCCCCATGCCATGACTTCCCTCCATCCAATATATCCATATATATATATATATATATATATATATATATAAAATTATTCTCTGATACTTCAACGTATGTACCGCAAGTCTCCACCCCTTTTCTTCTTTTCAACCCCCCCACTGTGCAGATAGAAAAGCGAACGAAGAGGGTGGGTTTGCCGGCGGATTTATCGGGAACATCTGGACCCCACAATCATCTCAGCATCACACGTGAACAACTGTGACCGTGGGCACAGGGCGACCGACAGCGGCCGTGAGCCACAGCCAGCCGCACGGGCCAAGAGCCGGGCCAGGAGAAGAGAAGGAGAGGAGATGCAGCCTGGTCTGCTTCACCCACTGCCGTGCCGGGGTGGGAATAAGGGCGGTGGGTAACACGGCTCTCAGGGGAGCCCATCGCGAGCCCTGCCGCCCTCGGCGCAGCTCTAGGCGTGCAGAGGGGCCGAGCCCGGCCCAGGGGCGGGCAGCCGGAGCGGGCGGGGGCG